GCGCCCGCCCTGGCCCCCTCGCGGGGCGGCCGCTTCGCCACCAGCCTGGAGAAGGTGGAGGAGCGGCAGTTCCTGCTCTCCTCCGGCCGCCTGCTGCTGCCCGGCAGCTCCAAGGTGGTGCTCATGGTGGTGGCGGCCAAGAAGCTGGTGAGCCGCGTGCAGGTGGCACCCAAGTCGCAGTTCGACGAGACGCTGCTCTCCGTGGTGCACACCTCGGAGCCCATCGAGGCCTCCCGGCTGGAGGAGACCTTCAGCAAGCTGAGGGAGGCCGCAAAGAAGGAGATGCTAGAGGTGATGCAGATGAGGGTGGAAGATCTTTTGCAGGAGCACCAGCAGACCTGGTCGGATTTGTTCATTTCAGGTGAGGAAGGTGACGCGCAGCTTCATACGCTTGCTTTACTGGATGCTCAGCAGCTTGGGCCCTGTGAGCTTTCCAAAGGCTCTCTCTTCCTTGTGTGTTTCCGTGACGGAAGGGATGCTGTGGGATAATAAAGCAGCGTTCCTACTTTAGAACCTGGGGTCCTTTCTAAAACTCAAGTCATCCTTATTGCGTAAGTGAAATGCTAGGCGAGGAGAACTTTCCTCATCAGAACCCTTCATCTACCACTAGCGCTTGGTTTAGCATGAGACAGGGCACCTGCTGCTGGAAGAAAAGTAGCATCAGGCAACAGGTTTTGTTTGAGAGATTCCAGGCTGGACTCCTAGACAGCCAGGTCACTTGCAATACAAAGGAAGGAGAGGTGCTAAAGGGAGCTAAAAGCACTTTGGAAAGGAGGCTTCACTGCGTCAAGCTTTCAAGTCTTTAGAAACTTCACTGGCTTGTCCAGCAAGCGGCCTCCAGTTTGGGGAATGGGCTGACCTCCAGTGACAGGGTAGAGGAGAACTTCCTTCATGGAAGTTAAGGACTGTCCTGCTCTTACTGCATAAAGGCGTTACCAGGGATATCTGAGTACTAACAGCATCACATAGCATGTGCAGCTGGACTGCTTTTTCTCCTAGTTAATGTCATATTCATGTGTCATCCTGCTTTTGTTTTTATTATAGGCATTGAAATGAGGAAGATCACAGATTTGCATACGCCATCCAGCGAGACTGTTAACATGACCCTCTACTATGTGCTCTCGACCATGCCAGCTCCCTTGCTAGATCCACTCATCAGTGGCGAGGACAGGGAGAAAATGGAAGCCAGCTTGAACTATGCAGACCACTGCTTCAGTGGCCATGCGACCATGCACGCAGAGAACCTGTGGCCAGCAAAGGTGACCAGTGTCCCCCAGATCTTGCAGCTCTCAGACTTGTGGAAGCTGACTCTCCAGAAACGGGGATGTAAGGGTCTCGTGGCAGCTGGGGTCCATGGACTCATGCAAGGGATGGTGCTTAGCTTTGGTGGTCTGCAGTTCACAGAAAACCATCTTCAGTTTCAGGCCGACCCTGATGTACTTCATAACAGCTACTCCTTACGTGGGATCCATTACAATAAGGACCTGATTAACCTGGCTGTTCTGCTTGACTCGGAAGGAAAACCCTTCTTGCACGTGTCGGTGAAACTCCAAGACAAGCCAGTTCGACTGTATGCGTGTGAGGCAGGCTGTATGAATGAGCCTGTGGAGCTGACCTCCGAGGCACGAGGCCATACCTTCCCTGTCATGGTGACTCAACCCATCACACCACTGCTTTATATATCCACAGATTTGGTCCACTTGCAGAACCTGAGACACACACTCCATCTAAAAGCTATTCTGGCTCACGAGGAACACATGGCCAAGCAATACCCAGGCTTACCCTTCCTGTTTTGGTTCAGCGTGGCCTCCTTAATCACACTGTTTCACCTATTTCTGTTCAAACTCATCTACAATGAATATTGTGGGCCAGGAGCCAAGCCGCTCTTCAGGAGTAAGGTATAAGGCTGCTGCCTTGGGCTGATCTCCACTGTCATCAACTGAATTTTCTGTCAACTTGTGCCTAGGGAGGTTCTCTCTCTGACTGTGAGAATCTTCAGTGTCTCTTGCAACACATGATCCATGTCCTCTTCTTGCAAAAAGTAGGATTTGGACAGGGATTGGAGTGGTAGGGCTCACAAACATTTAAAAAAATAAATCCCATGTCAGTGCTTAAACCTTCAGAAGGCTGCAGTTTAAGGCAGATGCAGCTTTTCTGTCCTTTTTTTTTCACTTGTTCATGTAGAACTTTGCTTGTATTTAAGAGAACAGCTGCAGCCCTGATAGTAGATGCTGCTCTTTGTTATGCAGAGAAGGAGTGCGGGTGACAGGGGTTCTGTACTTGTCTTAGCTACTGTGTGGGAGATGTGCACGCTCATCTGCCTCGTTGGCTTGTGCACCGGGTCATAGGAGAGCCCGTGTTCGTAGGCAAGCCAAGGCACTGACTTGTTGGTCTGGGGTAAATGCTCATAGGCACCGAGACACTGCTCAGTCTTCCACCACATTTACCAGCACTTGGAAAACTGCTGAGCTAGTGTTTCTAAAATAAATACAAAATACAGAGCTGATGTAAGAAAAAGGGTGAGTGTTTTTTTTTTATTAACTGAGAATTAAAGGTTCAAATTGCACTGCACTGCGTCTCACTTCCGCATAAGGGAGTTGAAATCCTTGTTTGAATTGCCTTAGAATTAATGCCTGGGGATGGGACAGTTAGCACAGAATAGAAATGAGACAGTGGATTCCAATTCTAGTACTGGTACTTTCCTGTTGTATATTGATGAGGTGGAATCTGGATTTGCTGTGTGAGCTAGCTGCATTGTTCAGAGGCAGCTTTCCTTAGAGTAATTTTTTAAAAACTTTCTTTAAAAACAAAAATTTGGAAGCAGTTAAATAGAATTGCCAAAGGAAGAGCTCTAGCTTTAGATTGTTGTCCTCTTTTCGCAAACTGTAATAGCTAGTTAATTTTTGACTAGCCAAGGCTGGACAAAGGGTACTGGGTCTAAGATGAGCTGGCAATGGGCCTGTCAGCTCACTGGCTTTCTAATGTTGAGCACTGGAGCCCAGGGCTGATCCCAAGGGGGCTGAATACTGTCCATCCTCCGAAGAAATGAGAGCTGGAGGTCCTTGTGGCTAAGTAGGACATGATAGAGAATGCATATCAAAGGAATCGGTGAAGAAATAAGCCTGTGATCATGATCAAATCATTAATGCAAAAGGAGGAAGTGGTCGGGAAGTATTTGAGTTATTGTGTGTACAGCTGTGTCCTGAAATTCTAAATCCATTGCATCCTTTTTCTTTCTTTCCACTGCTCTTCGGTTGCCTTTGTCATCTGAGACTTGTCTTCTGCCTTCTACAAAATGACTCGTTAACCATTGTTGCAGGTAGCTGTCCCTGACACTATTCACTGACCTGCTGAGCAGCCTCACAGCTACGGACAGCACCTCTTCACTCTTGGCACTGCCTGAAGTCTTGCAGTGCCTACAGAACAAACATGTTTCCTGGTCTTAACTGGACCCACTTAAAGTGAAGCTGGTACAAAACTTGATTTGAGATCAGGGATGAACTGGAAACCAATTGAAGCTCAAAATCCCTGGAGCAGTAAGCAAAATGAATGGTATTGATGTAACACCTTGTTTGTTAATTGAATGGGACTACCCCAGTGTCTGAGTGAACTTAACAGTCCTGCTTTCAGCCTCCATTTGCACAAGATGTCTGACAATTCTGCAGCTGAGAACAAGGACCCTCTGAAAGCAACAATCCTTTTTGTGCCTTGTTAAGAGAGGAATCTGTGACTTGGAACGTGGTAATTCAGGAGTTTATCCCAGGAGCTTGTCTAATAGACATGTTTTTTTCCTTGTAAGCTCTTCAGTTCCCTAAGAGTAATCCGTGTGGTAAAAAATACTTGAACTATACAAAGTCCTTTCATATTTTGATTCTTTTTTTAACTTTACAGCAAAACAAAGAATGATGATTCCCTTCAGAGACTTAACTTAACTAGAAAAACTTAGCATAACTTCCTCTCTGGTATACATTTTTTAATTTATTGCTTGGGGAGTGGGGGGAGGGAAAGGATGTTAATAATTTTGCCTCCACTTCAGTAACAGGTTGGTCAATTGAACTGTAGATATCTAAATGATGGTAACAGGTTTTTCAGTCTTTATCATTGTAGAATGCAAAATCAGTTTAAATGAAATTGTTTCTGGATTTACACTTGGAAATGTAAATGATCTGTGAGTTTCACATTCTGAGCATATTGAGACTTTGTGCATTGATTTGTTTTGGCTGTTGGGGGAGACGTCACACTTTCTAGTGATTTAAAGATTGGTTGGTTTTAAAATACCAAAGCTGTTGTTTCTAAATAAATACTTTCAGCCAGGTCTGACTAACGAAGTGTCGTCTTTTTTTTTGTTTGGGGGCTTTTTTCCTTTTTTTTTGGTCTCTGTTCTCTTCTTCCCTCAGCCCCCTAATCCCTGCTTTCCTTCAGTGAAGTAATGGAGTACATTATAAATGATAGATTAGGAGTATTGAAAGAGATTTTTTTTTTTAAACAGAACATACCAGAAGTTCCTGCTCTGTTTTCTATTGTAGTCCTGTGGATCTGCTCAGTGTCTGTACTGCATCTGGCATGAAGACGATCAGAGCTTGCATGGAGCTGCTTCCAAACCACCACTGGATCAGCTGGTGGTGGATCTTCACTTACAGAAATGCCAAGAGTATGATGTCCTCTTAGGCCAAGATATTTATGTCTAATTAGACTAGCCCTGAAAGAGATGGATAAGCAATTGTTACATAAAACAAGAATGGAACAAATAAAAGCTTTGAGAGGGTTCTGTATTGAAAATACTGTGATCTTCCTTATTATCCCCCCTCCACCATAAAAGAACTGATTCAGAGTTCCCTTACAAAGAAGAAATGGAAAAGTGAGATTGAACAGGGCTTCCCTAACTGTGATTTGTAAAAGAACAGTAGGATATTTATGAAATGATTGCAGAAGTGCTTAAAAAAGTAGATATAACCCCATGTTTACAAGGATACTTACACTCACATGCTCACAAATCAGGACAATTAAAATAGCAACTGAATACCCCAAATTTATAGTCAATTTTTAGTTGATATTTGGTGAAAACCTTGGTGGCAAAACAGAACGTAGAAGCTAAATGAAATTTAAGCTGGAGAGTGCAATAAGTTATTTTGCTTGTGAACTCAGACAATAAGGAAAGAGACAGCTAATCCCCGAAACAAATTTTTCTTAAGAGTCCCTTTTCTGTGCTCAGTCAATCTTTCAATTTCTGCCTTTGTCAGATAATAAATACAAGATGCCAGAATAGCGTTTGGTTGATTCCATTTGAAATTCAGAATGCAGCTTGCTCAAGCACTATTGTTTGGGCAGGATAATGCATTCATAAGCTCTAGACAAAACAGCATAGCATTATATATTTCTGTCTTCCACATGTATGCTCCAGGCAGCTTTCATCCAAATCAGTACCTCCTGCTAAGAAGTTTGTCTTTTATGTATGATCTGATGTATGGGATAGAGATATGAGGGGTCTAAGTAATCAGTAGGAGAGAGGGTAGAAGATTCCTGCAATTGAAGGAAAGAAGGAAGGTCACGACCCAAGGGAAGCCTGGCTATTATAGCAAATATCCACTAACAAATTAGGGCGTTGCAAAAACTTCTTTTGGGACAAGTGCTCTGCACTGGTCTATGTGTCTGCCTCTTGCCCTGTTTGTCCTACTGGTGTAAATGAGGCAGCTTACACTTATCCATTAGCTGCACACACTGCATTATTCCAAAGCTCAGCAAGCTGATCTGGGATGTTAGAAGGCTCATTTCTAATGCTATAGGAATCCCATTCTCTTCCAGGGAAGTGTTACTGACCTAACTATTAGAAGTGAAGAAGTAAAATTGAATGAGGCTCACCACACTACACCAGTGTTCCTCCATCACCCCGGACAGCCGGTTCTTTGTATTGCTTGAAACAGCTTCCTCTCCCAGGTGACTACAGTTTGTTTTGTTGAAGCACATTCTGTAACGAATGGGATCTGAGCTATAAAAGAAGATACAGTCTTTCAGTCAGTACAGAGTGGTAGTTCCTATTCACAAATGAAATACAATGAAACAAAATGAAATAAAATTTTAAATAATCGCAGGTTCAGAATTGTATGGTAATATAAGCTAGAAGAGACCACCAGAGTTCATTAAATCCAGTCACTGATGTTATTCCAAATATATCTGGCACTGCTACTTCCGACATGCTATCAAAGGTTAAAATAATTCCTATAACATTTTTTTTTTTCTGATAACATGGTTGCGACAAACATTCAAGGTAATGAGAAAGCAAACAGCTGCTCCAGACAATATGCACTTCCGCTGGAAATTTCTACCAAATTTGTAGATAGAGCCTGCATTCAAGGTCCACCTAAACTGTTTTTTCTAAGAGCACTTGTGTATATAAAAAAAAATCCCACAGTTCCACAAGTTTTCCATTGATATTAGAGCAGCATGAAACGTAAGGTCTTATCTCCCAAAGATAAACAATACCAACCTATAAAGTAGCTTGCAAAGCAGCATAAGCAGCATCTAGCTAAACGGGATCATGCTGGAAATCATCTTTGCTGTGCTGACTCTGGCAACTGCAGGTATGTACCCAATTTCAGCATTAGTGCTAAGGGAGAAATGAATTTAAGCACAACTGCAACTTTCCTTCAGTGGAGAAATTAGACCCATTCTGCAATAAGACAGAATATGGCAAAAGGGATGAATTAAAAAGCTCTCTCAAAGGAGCAAGTAGGTGCTAGATTATTGTGTTCACACTAGAGGGGCTCAACTAGCATGAATAACCCCAGGCTTAGGCAAATTCAAAGTTACTTTACTTAACTTGAACACACTGATATACAGTGACATACAGCAAACTGCAGCTCATCTGACACATGAGAATTTTGTTCAGTTAACACGATTTCATCATGAGGCAGAACAAATTTATATAACGCTGGTCAGTCTTGGCTGATGGTTGTATCTTCACTTTATACCATAGCATATCATAGGCTGGGTTGTTACCTAGCAATGCTCTAAGCAAGCAGTCTACATTTAAAAAAGAAAACTGTTAAAATTAGAGCTCCTACTTTAAAAATACATTCTCTTTTGCCTGTTTTCTAGCCCTTGGCTGTGGGGTTCCTGCCTACCCCCCTGCTGTGTCTAGAGTGGTTGGAGGAGAAGATGTAAGACCGTACAGCTGGCCATGGCAGGTTAGTTATTTCTGCATCTCTCTGCCCTCCCAGGACAGGGCTGAACAAAACTACCCTTTATATTTCATTTAGGACATCTTATCTGTTATGTCTTAGGTTTTGAAAATTACATTCTAATCAATCCCACCACTTCACTTTTATTTTTTTTTCAGATAGCTCTGAATATATTGCCTATTACTAATTTTGAAGGTTTTCCTGTTCTTGCAGTTGATTTAGGCAATACTCATGAACAAGAGTCAGAGCTTCCAAGTCTCCCATCCCATAATCAAACAAAAACACTAAAACTCCATGGAGAAAATGATGCCTACTAGAGCACACTCTACACAGAGCTAACAAATAATTTAGGCACTATTTGGGCCAGGATTAGTGAAAGCTTTGGAAAAAATACACTAAAATCAACCTTTTGGATGACAGGGAAAGGGAGGAAACTGTTCTCAGGGTAGGAATTGAAAATTCTTGTTGCTTAAAAGTCTCCCACTACCTTCCAAATGCAAATTGTGTTGTGGGTACAGGGAGAAACTGCAACAGCGAATAATAAGTAAGCAAAAATTGTACCCTGTTGATCCTAGGCCTCCCTCCAATACCGTTCAAGCGGCAGTTGGTATCATACCTGTGGAGGAACCCTCATCGCCAGCAACTGGGTGTTGACGGCAGCACATTGCATCAGGTAAATCACTGAGTTATAGTTTGTATCTAGAAAGCAGTACGTGACCAGAGATAGATGAAGAAAAACGTATTAATGCCAGTTTTTCCTTTCCCAAATAAGAACAGTAAGTCTCATGTCCTACGTTTTGGTTAAACGTAAGTGGTCACAAGAAAGAATGTATGTCTTTTCTTAAAGGTAAAGGAATTAAAAGCTCAATGTCTTGAATTATATATACTTATTTTTCTGTAAAGAACTATGAAACCATCATCTTTTCAAGTTGCTATCAAAATCTGGCAGTGCTGCCTGTTTTTATAGTATATTTGACAGTGAGACCAAAGACAACCACTCAGTCCATTTGCTGAAGAAATAATCACAAGTGTTTTGAATTTACCAGTCCTTTTCAGTAACTCTTTCACATTCTCATATTGTTGGAAAGTATAATTAGGAAATAACAAGATACAGCTATGCTCCATCATCATCATCAATGTTTCCATACCAGCAACCCCTTTTCGGTTCAGTAGCACATGTCCTTGAATATGCACATACAGGGTTTGGTACTACGTTGAAGAAAAGATCCTGTGAAATAACAAGAATTAGCTACATCTTGCTGCTATAAATCCTGCATATTATATTTATCTCACAGCTGTTTATCAGGGATGATGCTGGGGGCAAACACCATGCTGTCAAAAAGGTAGCGCTGCTTAATTGTTTAAAGAATAGCAGCTATCTGCTGTGAAGACTGATGGCATCCTCAGTTTGAGATGAGCCATTAAGCAGAAATTGGCAGGATTGCTTGGAGGTGAAATGGTCCAGCACACGATGCTTTGTCCTCAGCCACCGCACAGCTCCAGACAGACTGTGTGTGATAGGAGACTCCAGTCCCAAGGGTGTTCTTAACTGAATACTGCAGGCACAAAGATGTAGGTTGCTTTGCAATGAGCTGGTAGCCACCCAGCTGAGTGACAATCTTTAATCCTTCTCTCCTCCAGCTCTTCCAGAACGTATCGAGTATATCTTGGAAAATACAACCTAGGCGTGGAGGAAGAAGGATCAATCGCAATTTCGCCAGAAAAAATCATTGTTCATGAGAAATGGAATGCAAATAGACTTGCAAATGGGTAAGTCAGCGGCAAGTATTTTTTCATATACTAGATGCTGGGCCAAAATCAAGATACCTGAACCCAGACCCTTTGAATGGTGGCAGTTAAATGTCTAGAGCCCCTTGGTATGAGCTTAGGCTTACAGTGGTATTTCTGAGTAAGTGAAATGGATTGAAGTTGTGTCTCTGGTTTGCAGTGTTTCTTCCTCAAGAGAAGATAAAGAACTTTCAGTATCATTTACTTATTCATAAACTGCATTTTTAGCTGCAGTTTTGCATGTTGAGAAGTTGCTGTCCTAAGCAACTTGTATAGCATCTTGTATAGTGAAAATGAATGAACTAATAAAACTATTAATATAATGTTCTTTACATGTTGAGAAGTTGCTGTCCTAAGCAATACTCTCTTGTATAGCGAAAATGAATGAACTGATAAAACTATTAATATAATGTTCTTTGAAGCCTTCATATGAATGGCATAAATGTAAAGCACTATTACTATGAATACCTTTATTGCTGAAGGACTGATATGCCTGGATGCAAGCTAAGTGCATTAGCAAAAAAATTACCTTAGTTTCCAGCTGCCTGGATCTAGAGTCCTCAATCTGGCTTGTTTCTGGTGAGCAGAGTCTGTGAAAGGTCATTTCCAGAATGCTGCTAGCAGAGAAGCGCACCGTTCTGCAGGGGAGAGATGAGGAATAATGAAGAAACTTCCTTCTCCAGCGCAGCTGTCAGTGCAAAACTGGTAGCTCCAGGAGCTGCTCCGTGTTACAGAGGGATTCCCCGCTGCTTTGAGGGTGCAGAAAACTCTCATCCAAGCACCAGTCTCCTCGCTCCCTTGCATATAGTGCTGTGTAACAGCTAAGCTTTCATGCCTTTATGTCTTTCTCTTTCTGCCTCCCTCTTCATCCCTTCCTTTCCATTCCCAACTCTCATACGTGTGCGTATGACCGCAGGTACGACATTGCTTTGATCAAACTTGCTGAACCCGTCACCTTTAGCGACCAAATTCAGCCTGCCTGCCTCCCTCCTGACCAAAGCATCCTCGCATCCGACACTGCCTGCTATGTGACTGGATGGGGAAGGCTGCAGAGTAAGTACTTGGGCAGCTGCAAAATTGTAAAAGAAAAATCTGTCAAGGTCCTTCAACTCAATTCACCTACGCGGTATGATTTTTTTCCTCCGTTTCCTTCGAGTATATTTTGCTTGTAGTTTGTTTAGTAATGCACCAGAGGGCCCTGTGTTAGGCTTTCAGAGGATACCAAAACACAAATCTAAACTGTGCAGGCTGAGTTTGCTAATACTAATACATTCTGCTGAAGGTCTGAAAAGACTCATAATGAAATAGATGTAGAATGAAGATTTAAAAAAAAATACTCAGAGACTTCAGCAGCGTTAGCTCTGCTCAAGAAGCATTTCCTAGAACAAACTGCAAAATTCTGAACAAAGAGCAGACATTTATTTCTCTAATAAAGAGACATTTTAAATGGAATGAGAATTACTAGTAAGTCAAGATTTTTTTTTTTTTAAGAAAGAATTAAGAAAATGAATAGATCATACAGCCCTTCCTTTTATGCAGCTGTTATGGAGTTTCTCACCTGCAGGAACAGTGCCCAAATCCTGGGAGATACTTAGTAATGAAGTTTTCTTCTTTCTCCAGAGCCAGCCAGTACCATGACTCCTTGGTTTCTATTCCCTTGCAGCCAATGGAGCTCTTCCAGACATCCTGCAACAAGCTCTTTTGCTGGTGGTGGATTATGCAACTTGTTCCCAGAGTAGCTGGTGGGGAAGCTCGGTGAAAACCAACATGGTTTGCGCTGGTGGGGACGGCATCACCTCCAGTTGCAATGTGAGTCCGGAGAACGCTGCTTATAGGGGCTGGTTTCAGACGCAAACAGACCTGATGGGAGGGAAGTTTTAAGAAATGAGGAAGCACTAGTGACACTATGACTGCCACTAACCGTGTTCCCCTTCCTCCCAGGGGGACTCTGGTGGCCCGCTGAACTGCCAAGCTGCTGATGGCACGTGGGAAGTGCACGGCATCGTCAGCTTCGGCTCTTCTCTGGGCTGCAATTATTACCGCAAACCGTCTGTCTTCACTCGGGTCTCCGAATTCAACAGCTGGATCCAGGAGGTAACGTTCTAGCTAACGCTGCTCGGAAAATACAGACACGTAGCTTTTTCTAAGGTCATCATCAGAGACCTTGGGCTTGGGAGGGGAAGAGGTACAGGAAAGACATTTAAAGGTTTCTCTATTTGAGGAAAAGCACGTAAAAAATTATTCCACAGTTATCTTTGTTTATATCACTAAGTAACCTCTCTATGTAGGCAAGCCCTTACCAGCAGAAAAGCAGTCCCTAAAGCAAAAAAAAACTTGCTCTTAAATAGTTATCCAAATTATTTCCATATATATATAAGCCTGGATTCAAAAAAAAAAAAAACTTGCTCTTAGTCATCCAAATTATTTCCATATATACATAAGCCTGGATCTTTAGGAACACATTCTGCCCTTGTACTAAAGCTGTATTTATAGGTATTAAAGGTTTTGTTGATATGACTTCCAAAGCAATATATATTTATTGTTTGCTACAATTGCATCCTAGAAGACAACACATGCTGCTCAAGTCTGTAACATCAATTATTTGTTAATATACTATAACCCTTAACCAAAAGGGTAACTAAGAAGCAAAGATCTTGTTTCATTTAAATGTTGCCTTTTGGACATAACACTCTATTCACAAATTCCTGGGTCTTCTGATCTGATTTTTGCCTTATTTTACATTTTTATAGGTAATAGATAACAACTAATGCAAAGAGAACTGGATGACAGATGATAAAGGTACCAAGAAGAACAGCCTGAATAAAGTAATAATCATAACACTTTAAATCACAAAGAAGCGCAAAATTATACATTTACCAACAACAACATTGTATATAATCATACTGAAATAAACACTGTTTTGGGCAAAATGAAAGAAAAACGTGTGTTCCTGATGTGTGTTCTTGCATATTGTCAAAACCAGAGCCCTGATTTAGCGATGCCAGGCAGAGAGGCACCACAATAAGCCTTAACATCAGCCTGTTAGTGATAGCCTGCCTCGTTTACCCCATAATCTTCATGTCCTTCAAGCACATGACAGACTGGATACACAATTATGCAAAGAAGCTCAAGGAAAGGACAGAGGACTTGAAAAGGGAGAGGCAGATGTTGCCCAAATCTGTGGCCAAGCAGCTAGGAAAATGCCAAAAAGTTGAGGCAGAAAAGTACGATCAGGTAAATCTAGACACTATAGGTGAGCAAATGGAAAAAAATACAATCACCAACGCAGAAAAGGATTCCTTTAAAAGGACATTAGTCTTATCTTCAGTTTGAGGAACCTGGTTTTGCATCCACAGCTGATTTTGGATGGAAATTCTAACAATCTGGCCAGGCATCTGTGTGTGTGCAGCTCTGCCTTGCACCATGTGTGCTGCTGCCAATGCTTGATTCAGCAGCTGCACAAACGCTATGGAAAACGCAGTAAATTCCCAGGACCGTGTCCGTGAGCTGTAATCATTGCTCACACACACACCAATTTCATTCAACCTGATCTGTTTCTTCCCCAGCTTTTCCTCCTTTGTTTCAAGCTTCCTCCGTTTTGTGAAAACATAGTTCTGTGAAGGTTTCTTCCCTCCTTCAGGCTAAGGCTTTTGCACAAAACCAGCAAATAGCGCTTATGCTTTATGTGCAGTAAAC